ACGATAAAATGTTTTCTCTTCGACATCGATATCGTAACTATGAAACTCAACATTGAAAAAGTAAATAGGTAATAGTTTGAAAAACTAAAGAAACAAAGAAACGCGCTTTTATACAGGGTGTTACGAATTCGTGGATAAGCATGGGGTAACCTTAAGAGATAGACAGAGTAGTTTAAATTAGGGCAAAGTTGCTCCATTTCATGCACAACAAATGCTGCTTTGAAATTGGAAAAATCTGAGCTATTTCCGTAGATATCCGAAAAAAAAAAAGAAAATATGCAAAATCGTTTTTTATATATTACTCAGTTTATCTTGAGAGATATTTCAAAATGAATGCCACTTTTCCTTCTCTACAAAATGGAATTGTCAAATTGAAAATCCGACGTTTCTTCTTCGAGCGGCCATCATCAACTTTATTTTTTCAAATACGGACCGGGATTTTTCATTTTAATTTGCGATGAAGTGGAACAAAATCACGCTCGAATATTCCGTTGATACAAACATAAACACCATAGATAAAGACTAAGCTAATATAAGCTATATATTCTTTAACATAGCACGGTATATTCCTGAAACGTCTTATCAAAACTATGAGAATTCCATCAAACCTTCCTATATCTCAATTCCAAGCAAGTATATTATTATTTTATTCAACGTTTTAATTCAAATCAGCTCGAAGATATATTGCCACTTTCTCTATATTCAAGAATATCTGCATTCTTCGATAAGAATCTTTGACACATTTATGAAATATAGCGAAATACCTCTACAAGAGATGCAATTGCATTGCGATACAACTTTTCTTCATAAAAGTTCATAATTGATAGTCGAACATACCAATATGCAGGAAATGATAGGCGTGAATAGCTATTTTGATTTCATAAACAAGTTCCTGAAATTGTCTCAATAAAAAAATGAGACATATATAATGTCACAATAAATCAAAATTGAGATGTTTTGAAAATTTTTCGAAAAATTTGCGCTCCCACCATACTACATATTTTAACTATTGTTGAACGTCCGGCAACATTGGAAAAGGCATTGATACTGCCGATGCTTATGATCTCACTGAAAGCAAACGCTTGGGCTGCGATATTGACCTCTGATCGATGATTCACAAATGTTTCAGGCAAACTTTGGAGCTCAATATCTTCCAAAATATTTGTTTTTCGACAGAAATGTATTATTACATTTCGTTTTGTTTTTTGTCTGCAACCATCCATTCCATTATTCATTGCAGCCATTTCGTTAACCACCTTACATAATGCATATTAATAATGATGACTAATTTAATTCCAAATTGTGTTATCCTTAATAGATTATGGATGACATAAATTCTGATCACTAGATGATAATCATTGGCAGTTAATTAATGTTTATCCTTGAGAAGGAAATAAAATTCTATAAGGCATAGCAAATAAGTAAACCACTTACTGAATACTAACGCCCAATCGAACTCCCTTGATACTTTTCTTAGTTATACTGTTACAAATTATGTCATATAATGCACTGAGGAATATTCCTATTAACCATAGTCAGAAATCGAATCACCCCAGCAAGAAACTTTGCTGATTGTAACCCATCTGCGATTATTAGATATAGAACCTTGCTGCCACTAGCGAGTGCATCTGTATATTGCTATTAGACGATGTTTCTGTAGAAGATATCTGACTTTGCTACCGCTAGTGGATGCATCTAATAATGGCAGTAGGGCAATGTTATAATCGTAGGTAGGGAACTTTGCTACCCTTGATGGGTGATCATATAGATAGATGCATGACCTTCTTACTGAAGTTATTCAGTTATTTTCCAGGATTGCTGTCATCAAGAAAGGTGAAATTTTGACTGATATCCATTTTCACTTCCCATAATTTCCACGCTGATGTTTGGTATGAATAGCAAATTATTGATTCCTAAAGAAAATTTTGGACCAATGATCTTTGAAATTCAATAGATCAATCGATTCATGCACCCTCAGGAAAAACAAAAGGCTTTCGAGTAATTGATGAAAACAAAGAATTTTTCTGAAACTTCCTGAATCCATTGTATTTCGAAAACTAGGCAAGTTATCACAAATGCGTACAGGAAAACAAAATGTTACCAGTAAAATCATTCAAATAATTTCATAACCTGGGCATTTTTGCTCACAATAAGTTCTTAGACCACATTCTATAGAGAAGCTCTGGAACATATTTGACAATTTTAAAGTTCCATGGTACCGAAAAGAAGGAAATTTTGAATGTGAAATATTTGAATTTCAGTCGAAGTACCTTCATCATTCCATCAATCCTGTTTATTACTAAAGCACACAGATCTACGAAAGCACTGAAAGGGACACAGAAGATTTTTTCATTTGTTCAAAAATGTTTCCATTCTATATTTGAATTCAGATTCAGATTTTAAATAATGAATTGAATTCAAGAGGGGAAGTACTCGTAACTGTTGTGTCGTCAAGATTGTCGTCCTCTACATGGGTTTGCATCAAGATCCCAACTGTGAATGATTGATCAATCAAGATGTCTGAGAAATGCTTATATAGAGGGGGACAAATCAGCAAAATATTGAATAACGATAAGTAGCCGCTAGATAACCCTTAGTAGGTTCGTCAAATATTATTGTCGTGGCAGACTGACAGTTGTAATATTGGTAGTGAGTGCAGTTCTATGCGATGAACCTCGCAGCCATAAGCACATAACTCACTTGTAGTTGTTCATCTAGACAATTATTTAAAAAATCATGCTGTCCCAGAGTGGCTGCCTGATAGCGAAAGCAGTATATACCTTCCTATGGCAGGAAATTCACTTTCAGCAAAGTCGTTATTGCTATCAAAGGATTTCAAGGTGCTGCTTCTATTTGAAAATGTATAACGGTAATTTGATTCCTTGTAATGATAGCAAGAAATATCGCAACACAAACTCTAATAGCACAATTTTCCTCAGTGTGAGCACTGATCGAGCCTTTATTGTTTTCAAAATACGAACTATATAATTTCAATATAAAGAACTAGCTTGTGGGGAAGAATATTTTCAGAACCTCATTAGCTCAGATAATCATAAGATTGATGAATGACCACCGGTACTTATGCAAAATCCAACGATCTCTCCCATTCAAAAAACTCTCATTCCATATCCCAGTTCTATATTGATTTTTCTACAGCCTGTCCATACATCACAGCATGATACTTCACGTTCCAAAGCTTTCTGTCATATTTCCTCAATGCAATTTAAATGGATGATTAATGCTTCATCAGGAATGATTGTGATACGATCAATTGTTATTAATTTTGTAGGCAGGGCAGATGTCAGCAGAGTCATCTCATCGCTGCAATCAGTTAAATGTCCATTACGATATCATGCTGTTAACAAGGTCTATTCGTGAATTGGTAATTCGAGAGTATTAATTTTTCTCCGATAAGTTCTTTGTGATATACAGGGTGACATTGGAATAAATACAAATATCATCCTAAAACCCCAAGGAAGCTCGACGTATTATATCGAATGGCACCAATGAAAAACAATTTGGGATCAAAATAAAATTTGGGGTGTGGCAATTCTGACGCCACCTCTGTGCAAATTTTGGTGCGGAAGGCACAGTTTCGAAGAATTCAATTATTTAAATCGTCTTGAACTGGCAAACATACATTTTTTTTTTCAATTTCCAGGTTACAATTTTTCGGTAATTTAAATAATCAGGAAGAATCTGATGATATTTATAACCACTAAATAGGTATGTGAAAAAAAATCAGGAGGTGTTCCTGGGCATATTTCATGTATTTCATGAGAAAGGATAGTTCCTCCTTTTTTTGCTATTCCTTTCCTAGGAATATAAGCATATGATTATCTTTTCACATTTCAGAATCAGACATTTTGTTGATTTCAGCCAATAGAAATGCGTGATCTGGCTAATATACGGTATTATAGTTGTTATTCCTCTCTTTCAGTTCTATTAAATGGAACACCCTGTATATTTTCAATTCTAGTGAAAGATCTTTCTCTCCTGTTCATGAATATTAATATATGGTTTGCTAATGTTCCTTCAATCCATTTTTCACTTATTTAGCATTGAATCAAAGTTGCAAATAACATTTAGATGGCTGTGGACAGGTCACAACAGAAATGCAACAATGAAAACAAAGTCATGTGTTTCTATTGAAATAGGTTATTCTGTAGAGGAAAAACTCGAGATAGTGAGATCATAATAATTATAAAAATTAATATTAAAAGAAATTCAGTAGTGCAGCAAGAGTTTGGTCGAAAACGGCTTAAGAGAACATTAGCAAACTATATATATTTGTGAACAGAAGAAAAAGATCTTTCACAACAGTTGAAGATATACAACTTTTATATTTGAAGTTTTTATCCACATTGTTTAGTTATAGCTCTAGATAGGGGTCAAAACATAAGGAGACACCTTGTACCAAATCGACATGGCGGAGGCGGACCTGGTGCCACAAAAATTTTCATCATTTGTCAAGGCAACTCGATCTCAAACGTGTTTATTTCCCCCTTATCTCGATCTGCTGCAGGGTTCTACTTATGGTACAAAATAATCATGTCAGCTTCTTCATTCCAATCGAGATATTGGGTGCATCACCCGCTTATGGCGTCAGATAACCATCTGCGCCGCTCCAAATTAATTTATTCGCGATATTTGTCGAGATTACCACTCGTTCGACTGGAGGTGTCACCTAAATTACTTGGGCCGATAACACGAACGCTGCTCTGCTCACTGACCTTGCGTATTACCGTTTTTCGAAGATGTCAACCTATGCATCTCTTCGCAAAGGCCGCTAAATTACTCGGTCGACGATTCGATCAGAGTCATTCATAGATGCGTTTTTGGACTGGGCCTAGTGTCGATCCATGCGGCACCCCAAAATATGAACTTGTCGCTTAGGTGTCCCCTGTAACTAGCAACTTGATATATTGTCCTAAAATGCTATTGAAGAGGAAAATTGTCACTTTCTTCAACTGTTTGACCTAATGAATGTTTTGTTTTAGCCTGATTACTACAGAGATGCAAGCCACTTCCATCGAATAGATGAAGGACCGGAATATCGATTGGAAATACCGAATGCTAAAATAGACTACACAGGAACTTATACGGTGTACGCCAAAAATTGTCATGGTGACGCCAAAGCTATCATTTCGCTTCAGATAAAAGCCAGAGGTAAGTGGACTCTGTGTTTAATATGAAACTAGAAATTTGGTCAATTGGTCATTAGTTCTGGGTCCTCAGTTTGTGGAAATGCGAGTTCGTGAGAGAAAATATCGTCCGAACATGTTTTTGTTCAACTTTTGGTAATAGAGTTTCATTATAGATTTTATGACTATGTATTAAATCTCGACATGACTCCTGTCGAGTGGAAAGAATTATCAGCAATTCATCTTTTTTTTTTCCTTTACAAAATGTCTGATGTGAATGAAATCATGAAAATTTTCTCATCATAACGACATTTGGAATTTGGAAGAAAGAATGCCTACTAGTCTTTGATATTTTTTTTATAATATCATTTATTGAAGGATCTCTTGTCACCAGTTGAGGCGTCTTGAACTCCGTAGATGAATTCCTATTTGGGGTTAACCTCTTGTTGGTAAAAAAGAATATAAGCATCCCCACTGATGAGAGAATTCGACGAAATTGAGGAGACAAGAGAATCATTGTACTCGTGCCAAATTTCAGTGTATTTTATAAGAATCACCATTTTTAGTCTGTAGTTGATATTATTCAATCTGAATTGTATCTCCATCCGATTTATTTGCAATTTAGGCGATCATTCATTTACATAATATATCCAATTCCTGGGGATTATGATAAAACCATACAACATGATGTGTTTGCAGAATGGACAATGGTCTGGAAATAACATATAGATCATTGAACACATTTAAGCAAAGAGCATTGAAAAATCACCTAGAGAAAATAGGTGGGAACGTTGCTAGAATTGCAAAATAAGTTGGGTTTGCTCAATAATGAATTTTCGTAGCCGCCTTCTTTTGAAACACCCTGTATATGGAAATACAAATTGATGAAGAAATACACAGCAGTTTGTAATGAACATGGCTATCCTAATTTCCATTATTTTTCTCCATAGATTCATCAGATTCTAAAGAGGGGAAAAAGAAGATAGGGTGAGTTTTTAATACAAATACTACTATATATAGTTATCATGACTCTCAACGATAATCACTATATTTTCCATAGATGAAAAATAAACTTGTGATTTCGAAATAATGTTTGCATCAAAATGGTCACTGTAAATCTCCATATTGGCCATCAAAAATGTATTTTCAGCAATTTCATTGCTTCACAAAATAATGGAATATTTTCACTTCGTAGTCAACGCTAAACAGATTTAAATGAATCATCCTTTAAATATCTTCCCCTTTGAGAAGAAAACGAAATGTTAAGTGAGAGTGATGTACTTATATATGGATTTGTGTTTGGATGTGTATATTTTTTGTATTTATGGATTAAATGGGCGAGGGTTTGTGAATTGATTCAATGTTAAATTTCTACATGGATATACATGTTTGTGAATCATTTTTTTTTTTCAGGGAAGTTCAGTCTATTCCAAAATTTTTGAGGAACCTCAGCGATATACGTTGTTCTGATGGCGACTCAGCAACTCTTGAATGCAAAGTAGAATCCACATCTGCACCGAATATACGTTGGGAAAAGAGTGGAAAAGTAAGATATTGATATAGTCACAATTGTGTTTGATTTTCATCTATACCTTTATCGACACAGATAGATTCTGGATTTTGTGCATATACAGGGTGAGTCATAACTAACCAGCCATAACCTAATGGTGAATAGAGTAAGTCAAGGTGAGTTGATATATATGTGAAAAAATATATTCTGCCTATTCCTAACAGAAATGGAGGGCATTAGTTGCTTTCGGGGCGAAACTTTGATGAACGATATTTCAGGAACGTCTTGATGTTTTCGCCTGGAATTCACCAGCAATTTACCTCTACTGACACACCACACGATGGCCTACTATGGAAGACAAATTTCAGTGCCGGATTTGAAAAACTTATTTTCTTTATAAAAAAATGTCAAAATTTCGACTTTTTGAATCGTATTTTTCTGAAACTTTCAACAGAATCAGAAAGATAAAAAAAAACATTACAGTACACTTCGACCGGATTGGTGAAAAAATATCAAACAAAATTCAGACGAATATTTCTTCGATTTCGTCCGAGCCATTACTCTCTATATTCGACTGAAAGTATTCGAATCAGCTTTTTCTGCATATTGATTTAGCAACAGAGTTGAGAAGGAGTATAAATATATAGAAACATCAGGACCGGACTTGGTTTTTGAAATGAATCCTAATATTTTTCAACGATGATTCTCAAAATGTCCTCCTCCTCAGTTTCTATACATTTTCTCTACATCTTCGGAAGATCTCTTATGGTTTTTCGAATATTATGCCTATTATTTCTGATCATATCTGACTCTGTATCTATCCCTCTCCTCAGTTCATCTCTGGTGTTGACTTCATTCTGATATACCAATAGTTTCATGAATAGATAGATAATAGAATACTGTGAGTTTAGGGGACCTAGGGGGATAAGAATGAGGGCCGCCACGACCTATCCAGCGATTAGAGAATTGTTTGTTTAGGTATTTCCTCACTTGTATCGAGTAATGTATGAGTATTTAGGTCTATTTTCATGCATTCATCACCGTCTTCTCTTGTAGTGTTTTCTGAATAATGAAAATACCAAACTCACCATTTGATTCGCTGATTGTAGTATGAGTTGGCACGTTCATCTGATTCGGAACAAATAATTCACCCAAGCAATAATCTTGAATGTTTTTTTATCGCTTTTGGAGGCCACGAAAAAAAATTCCTATAATTTTCGGAGAACATCGTGCGTACTTAGGGATAATATAGATTTAGGAGGTAGGTATAGGGTTTCTTTTTAAATTAGGTACTTGTTTCGATGTTTTGAAGGTCTCTTCAAGAAAAGTAAGTGCGGTCCTAGAATTTTTCATCGAAAAGAGCCTCTTTCCAACTCTTTTGATACACCGAGATACAAGTCATGGATTCAAATGAATTTGTTGATCGATGTGACTACAATAGCCAGTAAGAATCGTAGTGTTTTTCCTGATCTTTCTGATTCTGATGAAAGTTTCTGGAAAATACGATTCAGAAAGTCGAAATTTTGAAATTTAAAAAGAAAATTATATTTCCAAGTCCGGCTCTGGAATTTGTTTCCATATTATGCCATCGTGTGGTGTGTCATTAGAGGTAAGTTGCTGGTGAATTTCAGGCGATAACATCTGGACGTTCCTGAAATATCGTTCATCAAAGTTTCGCCCCGAATTCAAATAATGCCCTGTATTTCTGTTACGAATATTCAAAATATACTTTTTCACATATATATCCACTCACCTTGACTTCCTATATCTACCATCAGGCTATGGCTAGTTGGTCATGACTCACCCTGTATATAACTTCTAGCAAGAACAGGTTGCAATGAATAATAAAAAAGATGGTTCCTAGATTATCTCAGGGAAAAATACTCCAGTGGGGTAAACATATTTTTCGACTTTTGTATGGGTCTTATGTTATGTTCCATACATGTCGCAGCGTTAGAGAAAAAATTTAAAAAAGGTCGGTAATCTTCATTCATTAACCCATCAGTCATTCATCATTCACTTGTCCGATAATCAATCAATGCCTTTGATGCCGCACAAGTGCAAATCGAACAAGCGAATAACTATCTGAAACAAACAGGTTACGTGATTTAGCTCGAATTATTCTCGCACATACAGAGTGAGTATATCCTTCAGTGATGAAACAGAATATCCTAAGAAAACTGAAACTCTATAATCTTCCAATTCTCTGTAAGAAAAAGAATCTACTTAATGGAACTCTGAGCTTTGTAATACATTATTTGTCCTTGCCTCCCAATTCGACGATGCACAAGTTATTCTATTCGGCATTTCTAACTAGAGTTATCCATCGTCCTAGAGTATGAGAGTTAGCTCTCTGTTTACTACTATTATTCTGTGATTCTTGTTTGCAGTTGATCCACTTAGGAGGTGATTTCAATGCCGACTTTGATGGAGAAACGGCTAGACTGTCCATCAATCAGGTATACCCAGAGGATGAAGGAGAATACACTTGCGTGGCTTTTAATGGACTAGGAAAAGTCAGTACATCGGCGTGTCTCATCGTTGACCGTAAGTTCATGAATTGACAAAAACAAAGATAGAAACTGTAGGAAAAATTTAACAGTATTTTGCATAACTATAGTGTGGAAATAGACATATTTCGCGCTAGTGGACGTTTAGCACGAGCCGCAGAGCAGCGAGTGCGGAAACGAAAGCAGTGCAGAAGTGCACTTTCCAACGTATTTTGTACATTATGTTTTATACGGCTATAACACAAAATTGCTCTTGTTTTACTGTGTACGATACGTCAATGGGGTACTTTGTATGTCATCAATATTATTTCCGTATCTGATATCACAATGAAAATCACATCGCTCATGGAATGTCAAATGTGAAGCAATGACAGCTCTGTCTAATAGATGAGCATTATTTGCCAGGAAATCAGATGGCAACAAGTCGAAGAAATCGAAAATGCCACTGTTATCTATTATAGTCGTAGAAAAATTATAGTACATAACCTACACGGAATGCTAATTTCCTACTAGAATGATTGCAGCATTTCGCCTATATATGGTTTATACTGCCAACTTCATTCTCGTAGGAAATCACTATCATTCCGTACTCTTCAAACAATATACTATTTCCTACGCCCACAAATACATAAGTTTATATATATATATATATATATATGCATCATGAGAATTTATGAGACCTCAGTATATATAATAGTAACCTTGCAATAATTATATGAGGGAGACGTGATTTTTATTCTGATTCTGATGTCACATTGACATTTCAGTGGTGTAAGAATCATGTAACTAGTATTACATAGAATTGATGTAACATAATCATGATGTAACGTGTTGCGGACAATATGCACAGTCAACTCATGGATTTTGAACCTACTTACTACCTCTTTTGTTACGTAACTGATCGACAAAATCATGTGATGTTTATGCGTGTGTTTTCTGGGTTACTATACAGCAAAGAAGTAGATTGACTGCAACATTATTGGGATTCCCTTTCGTGCGCTCCAAGCGATAAAAAAAATACCAATTTTGTGAAGTTTTTGTATTGTGTTCACCCAATGTCTCAGTGTCAATTTTGATTAGCAATTTGATACAAAGTACTTGGGACGTTGCGTACCAACAATCTTTTTCTGCCTAAGCAGATCAAGTTCAGTTTTGCTGCCTGTTAAGTGTCATAGAAAAGCCACTTTCTATGGCGTTTGAAGAAAAATAACTATTTTTTCTGCAACCGACACAAAAGTCGTCCATTTTGATACCAAAATTAGCTCTTAAATTGACGTTTCAATTACTGACACAAAAATAGGTATGTTGCTAGGCAACATATTTAGTTCCTAGGAGCTAAAGTTGCATTTTAGTTCCTAGGAGCTAAAGTTGAACTTTAGCTCCTAGGAACTAAAAAGGATCTACTGGACGTCATCAAGAATAAACAACATTGTGACGGTTGGTTATTTGGGTTGAGACGCATACCTGATTTGTTTCCGATTTCAGCAGATTTGGCATTTCATACTCATGCTGGAGATATAAATACACCTTATTATAGTTCAGTATTGGAATTATAAACATCTCAGTTGAGTATTTCTGTTTTGTTCAGGGAAGCCTTCAAGATTCAAATACTTGCTTGATATGTATTTCATTCGTTATTCTCGGGATGGATAACTTGTTTTTGAATAATCACGGAAAGCAATGGTTTATTTGTCTCAAACAACTATATTGTTTAGCTTCATTCGATTATCAAGTCAAACACAGTGTAGTATGCCAGTATGGAGAGTAATAAATAACCACTATTATCATTGTTGATATGCTCACTAACTTAACATTTTCTACGTCTTGTTCCTAATAGCTGGCACTGGCGCGGTATTTGCCATTAGAGCACCTGGTCCATACACAAATATGTCACTCTGTGGTTGTATTTATATTGAAACTACAATTCGAACATCCTAGAAAACCTAACCTGCTGTTAATGCAGGTAGAATATTCTCACCACACGGATTATTTGTCAATATTTGTTGCATTGCATACATATGGCACGGTATTGGTGGTTACTTCACATGTTTATTTGAGTTAATTGTTTCGGTTGCAGAAAAAATAGCATGTTTCATTCGGATCAAAAGTGACTTTGTTCGACTCGCAAATTTTGCTTTCGCGCGGCTTCGCTAAACGCTCCGCCTCGCAAATGCAAAATTCGCTTGTCAAACAAAGTGTCACTTTTGATCCTAATAAAACAATCTACTATTAATGCATTGAATATTTTTCCGATTCATTGAATCTCAAGACAACCCCTTCATGCCTACTATTTTATCGTTTCAGTGCCGGAAGAAAAAGACACGCTCCTCACACAACACCTCCGTCGCCCTACTTCCCTCCTGAACACCCCCACCCCCGTGACAACCCCCCGAACCACCCCCAATCGCAGCGTATCGCCCGTGCCCAGCTATCGAACCTCCCACCCCACCAGCAGGATGCGAGCCAGGCCTCCGAAATTCTACGCCTACCCCCACAACAGGGTGGCAGAAGAGGGGGAAACCGTCCGGTTCCAGTGCGCAGTCGCCGGCCACCCCGACCCTTGGGTCACGTGGGAGAAAGACGGTGTCGTCGTCACGCCTAACGCGAGGATAAGGATCACGGAACGCGAGGACTTGAGAACGCTGGAGATAGGAGAGGTCACTAGCATAGACTCGGGGATGTACAAGGTTATACTGGAGAACGATGTAGGTAGGGTCGAGACGACTGTCAAGTTGGAGGTCATCAGGCATCGTGTGGCCTCTGCCAGGGGGCTCAGAGCTCGTAGCCTCTCGCCCAAAACTGCTCCGAGGTATTCCAGAAGCCTGGTTAATGGTTGCGCCAGGCTGGGAAGTACTGCTAGGTTGTACTGTGACATTAGAGCCACTCCTACTCCTCACCTTCGATGGTACAAAGATGGAGTGCCTTTAGAAGACGACGATAAGTATCGTTGCTTCTATGATGGCAAAATGGCGGCCATTGAAATAGAAAAAGTCACTTTGGAAGATTCTGGGATATACACTTGCAAAGCAGAGAATAGAAATGGTAAGGCAGAGACGCAGGCTTACTTGGAAGTATACGAAGAGAACTTGTCACCTCCAGAGATTCTGGAGAGCCTGCCTAAAGACATGAAGAAGACGGAAGGTTCTCTGGTTGAATTAACTCTGGAAGCTTTTGGTACGCAGCCATTCGATGTTGTTTGGATGAAGGATGGTTGTATCTTGCCTGATTGTGCGGATTTTAAGCAATGCGTCACTGATGATGGGGTTATCAGTCTTACCTTGCCCGATGCTTATCCGCAGGATTCCGGGGATTACAGGTGTGAGATTTACAATATGTGTGGGGATGCATTCTCTACATGTCATCTAACTATACTCGGTAAGTTTATTTGTCAAATTTTGTTGCTCCATAAACAAGTTGCTTATAAATTTGAATATTTACCAGCAAAAATCTATACATTCTTATCAGTTTCAACCCACATTATTATACTTCATGGAGTAGGTGATTTTTTATTATTTATGAAGACATTTACATGCGGTTTTGAGTATGGAATTATCAATAATTGTAGGTATATATGGGTTTTGTTACAATCCTCCTCGTCTAGTGCATTATTTCGACGAAACAACTCTTTTATACAGTTCATTCCGAAAAAATGCTTGATTTTATAACATTTCCATAATACAATATCTGGTCATCTTTGAGGTATAGAATTGTATGGAACTTTGTTAATTATTTAGTATTTGATACTTGACTCCACTTTGGCAAACCATGGACATCTGCCAAAGATTCTTGAGTATTCAGCCTGTTCAATTAATGGACTAAATAATGATTTGTGTTTCTCATTCGGCTTATTGAGTAAACTTAACCTTTTTCTTTCATTATTTGTATATTGCTACATTATATTCACAAACCTGGTATGAGTTTATTCAGGAAGAGAAGCTTATTCAAATATACAACATGATAGAGGGTAGTTTATGTCAGATTATTTCCCGTCAATCTGAATGCTGAATAGTATTCTCATCAGCTTCATTTTATAGAACAGAAAATCGTATTTCAGTCATCATGGAAATATGGTTAATTAAAAAAATCAAGAGAGATGCAGTAGCTGGGTTTTTATATCAGATATATTTAGGAGTTTATGAGATAAATATGCAAATACTTGAATGTGTATTTGGCGTATCAGTTGTAGGAAGAACTGTACGCCTTTTTGAATAGTCTTTTTGTGAGGATATTTGATAGTTGTGGCAATGCCGAACACTATGATGGTTGAATCGTATATTGTAGAATGAATAAAGATCCGAAGTGCTGTTAATACGAATGCCAACTGTATTACCGATAAGAATGAGATTTGCGACTGTTCACTCTGAAGATTCAAGAATAACTGATTATAATAAATTGTCTATTGAGCTAGAAAGGTAGGTCTCTATGAGCTTTACCGAGAATAATAATTAGGGCTCGAATTAGGGTATTACCATCCTATAGCCAGATGGTCATAAAAGATCAATGTTGTGAATATGCAATAAGTATAGTTGGCATTTCGTAGAAAGGTAGAAAAAACCCTTATCGGGAAAAACCCAACACTTCGGATGATGAAATATGTACAGAGTATTAAATGTAATATGGTATATACAGGAAAGTTAATTGAATATACAAATATATACATGAGTGGGAAAATTCCCCACAGCACCCCCCTGCCAGTGATGAAGCTTATTGGAGAGAAAATCCCAAAAAATTTGGAATAATCAATGCGGTAGTGTCTGAAATTCATGGTGCAGGTTGCACGGCGCCTTCTCGTTATGGCTCTGGACAAGCTGTCGTATAGCTGATGCTGTAGCAGGTAACTGGACGTATGCACTGGCTTGCAGGTGAGTCGTACCTGCCAAACTATCTGAAAGTTTGTACAGGTGTGTTGACGGTCTGCTTGAAACGGCGGATACAGTGCAGGCTCATGTCGAGGCTGCTGCTGCACGATGTGCCGTGGTTTGCAGGAGAGCTGAATGCCTAGTTGAACAAGCGAATCCGCTGCAGGCTTCTCATGTCGAGACTGCTGGAAGATGTGCGCTGTGGTTCATAGGTGAGCTGTATACCTGATTGTAATGAACAGTCCAGTGGATGGCTCCTGCTACATGTGCTGCTTGGTGGAGCTAGAGATGCACAGGGGTGGCTTCGTGGCGTGGTGAATTTCCATACCTCAGTTGTTCAGGCAGTTCAGGCACCCTATGACTCGTTGCGAGTCTATAGCGAGCCGTTGGGTCTTGCTGGAGATCATTATGGTAGACCATCTCAGCGAGCTGCGAGTTGAGCTTGTTTCCTCACATCCTTTGTGGCGTCGATGTACTGCAGCGAAGGCAACTGCTGTGGACGGCGTGATGAGAGGGCTGAGCCATAGATTGCTGAGCAGCGCCATTTTCACTCGTAAGCGGCATGCTGAGTGCGTCAAATCGGCAGGAGCGGTGAGCTGAATCTGCGGCGGCAACATTAGCGGCGTCGGCGTAGGCGCGTCAGCGCCCATATCTAACAGGAAATATTCAGCATCATGATTGAAATGGAGTACGTGTCACTCGAAACAAAATATCACTCACAAAAGATCACGTCGGGGTCACCACTTTGGCGTATCAGTTGTAGGAAGAACTGTACGCCTTTTTGAATAGTCTTTTTGTGAGGATATTTGATAGTTGTGGCAATGCCGAACACTATGATGGTTGAATCGTATATTGTAGAATGAATAAAGATCCGAAGTGCTGTTAATACGAATGCCAACTGTATTACCGATAAGAATGAGATTTGCGACTGTTCACTCTGAAGATTCAAGAATAACTGATTATAATAAATTGTCTATTGAGCTAGAAATAAGGTAGGTCTCTATGAGCTTTACCGAGGATAATAATTAGGGCTCGAATTAGGGTATTACCATCCTATAGCCAGATGGTCATGAAAGATCAATGTTGTGAATATGCAATAAGTATAGTTGGCATTTCGTAGAAAGGTAGAAAAAACCCTTATCGGGAAAAACCCAACACTTCGGATGATGAAATATGTACAGAGTATTAAATGTAATATGGTATATACAGGAAAGTTAATTGAATATACAAATATATACATGAGTGGGAAAATTCCCCACATGTATAAAAAATCAAATACATTCGCTTGTGGTTATCGGTAGATTGATTTTGTGTTCTCTTCATTCTATTTATAATCGTATTGACGTTTGAAGATGGAATTTGGATAGCTATATCTGGAACTGATGGCTGATTCTGTACAACGTAAATTTTCTCTGTCAGATTAGAATAAAGGTTTCTCGATTCCTTTCCTTTCATGGCTCACTATAAATATGATATTTCCATATAAACTCATAAATAGAAATTAACATATCCTCGGATTGTCCAGTGCGCTGTGTTCTCGAGATTTATCTCCACGAATCTGACAATACAGCCTTTAGATCAACCGTTCATTTGAATTAATGACCATATCGTTCTGATTGCGACATGAACAGCAGCAATACTGCAGTTACAATTTGCTGTTACAACGACGGATAAATAAGAGGATAATGTTTCTCTGCCGAGAATTTGTCTCTCTTAATTAATTTGGTAATATTGAGAGATTTATGCAATTATATAGCTAACAAGGGAAGTTGATATATTATTATCTTCCATGTCTACCCAGTCACCAAGAAATGCTTATAAAGCAATAATGCATATCTACGACGCGTCTGAACTGCCATCCTAAATAGTAATTTTCCTAACAAGTGCGGAAAGTGATTCTTTCCCGCACGTGACTGCCGTTGATACGAACGACGCGAAGCGGAGTTCGGGCAAGCAGTCGAGTGCGGGAAAGACACTTTCCGCATGAGTTAGGAACAATATTTTTTCTACAAGCGTAGGAAATTGATTGAATCGTTCAATTAATTATTCAAGCAAATATAGGAACAACTAACAAGAGATACATATTCTCTATCTATTAATTATTAGTAATAGCTATTGTGAACTTACAGTTTGACGCATTATGTTGGTTCATTGCGGAAGCCAGCAGGCCCATTAGGAGTTTGGTCTCTATAGGTTCCAGACACTTCTATGAAATGAGCCAAAAATACCTATTCTTCCTTCGGTTTTTTCATGTCTTTATTGTTGCACCATTCAATAAAACGCGTGTATAGCTTCTCATACCTTTCATAAGACTTCGTTGGTGATAACGCATCTGTATCAAATCCCTATAGCTAGAAGTTTTTGATCACATTGTGGCATTTCCACTGAATCGAAAATGACAGTAACGCTGTGTCTGTCACTTCGACAATAATTTCAAACTTATTTGAGGTTTGATTGGCATGACAAATTGACGTTTCCCGTCAGATCAATCCAAATCTATAGTGTGATTTTTATAATAATCAATTTTTATTTCTCAATATTTCTTCTATTTTTACAATAAATAGTGCAATTTGATGGATGATTCTGAACATACATACTTAATACTGCAACAAACAAACTCAAACTTTTATATTCGATCACCAACCACTTATATTACTAGCGATTTTATCATATCTTTGTTTTCCCGCACTGTTGCGGGAAAATGACACTTCCCAAACTGAATTGCGTGCGGGTATAGGGTGAATCACGCACGCTTGTAGAAAAAAATTTTTCACGAACATTTGCCTACTCCACAGTTACAACTATAAATAAGGCAGAGAAAACTTTTTCAGAACATCTCCTAATTTACCGTTACAACTGTAAATTAGGGCTAATTTACTTTACTTACTGTACTGTACTCAACTGTAATCATCTAGCACGCTCTCAAAAATGTATTGACGCTACATGGTTTCACTTTGAAAATGAATTGTCACTATTCAAAGTTAATTCTTTTTTTTTATGTTCATTACTGAAAATTTTTTCTTGTGTTGTATATTCATAAATTCAAATTCATTACTCAGTCCAGTCCTTTTTGAACAAATTCTTTAAGATGTCTTTAGTAGATTCCGAATCTAAGATCAGATTATCGATGATTGTTATACCAGGTCAGCTATTCTAACTTGAAATTAACATGAAAAAGACTCATTACGGTCCTGATACGAATGTATTCTTCAGTTTCTTTGGATTATGAGAGTTTTTTATAAAGTTTTGACTAAGGAGTAGTGGGAGACAATAACAACAATTATGTCTTGATTTCGTAAATGTTTATTATATCACCAATTTTGATGATATTTTATCCGACAATTAATTTCTAGAGTGAAAAAAATTTGAATAATAATTCATTAAAAGATAACTGGAATGGTGCCATAAACTCTTTCTCCAAGTTTTCATGAGTATTTTCCATAGATTTCGAATCTTGGCTCAGATTTTCCATAATCATTATACAATAACTGATCATGAGAAAAAAAATGCCGGTCCTGATATTGGTTTCGTTGAGGGTTACTTGCTGAGACCTATCAGTTTAATTTTAATTCATGTACCAAATTTGAATCCACTCGGCTCATCGCTGTATTCAATGTGGCGGATTGATTTTTTTGTCAAATTCCACAAATCACTCTGTATGTCAGTAACGAAGCGGTTTCGGGCATTTGTATATGGCATTTTGCAATTAAATTGGCAGTCCTATAACCCCATGAGTTTTGTCGGTTTTATCTCCGGACACCCATATTTGGATGTTAAAAAAATGATATACAGTGTATAATTTTAACAATCTTATGGGTAAATTGACCTTAATTTCTATATAATTATTCATATGTATGTATCAATGTATCGCGAGTGTTTTTTTGAACCTTACATTTCTGTACAATAATTCTCAATAGGTATACAATTGTTGATACTAGAGTCAAACACCTAGATATCGCATTTAATATTTTTTTTGCAACCGACACAAAAGTCGTCCATTTTAATACCAAAATTAGCTCTTGAATTGACGTTTCTATTGCTGACACAAACATAGGTATATTGATAGGCAACACTTTAAGTTCCTAGGAGCTAAAATTGTATTTTTTAGTTTAGAATAAGCACGACCAGCAATACTGTCACAACGATATTGTTTACCCATGATTTGATTACCAAGCCAAACACAGTGGAATATGGAGAAAAATAAATAATCTCTATCATTATTTTTAATATGCTCACGAACATAACATTTTCCACTTCTTTTTCCTATACCTGGCACTGGTACGGTATTTGCTATTATGGCTGGCACCTGGTTCAAATAATGAATTCATCGATTTATCAATTCAATGAAATTCACAAATGGGTCACTCTGTGGTTGTATATACCGGGTGGCTACGGAAGTATTGCATACGGAAAATCAGTTATTGTGTGAAGTAGGTTTGTGAAATTTGGAGCGTCGATATAATGACATTAAGAGCTAGAATTTGAGCATATTGACATTTCGAGGTTAACTTCCGGTCTGACCGGAAGTAAAATCAACTTTTTTATTTTAAATGGAAACCCTATTTTTTTTTCTTTTCGCTTTATTCAGCATGCAATTCCATTCCTAATGACATATCACAAGTTGGTATCTAACCAGAAACTAGATCAGAAAAAAATTATTATTGAAATTCACTGAGTAGGCAGTGGAAGCAAAATGAAAGCCAAAAATTCGTGATGGCATGATGCATGGCAACACAAATTGTAACAAAGTTAAGTAGTCTGAGGCTAATCTTGCTTCGATCTACTTAGGTATATCATAATACTCTGCCAAGTGGAGGTTACTTCACATATTTATTTTAGCTAATTATTGCAGTTGCTGAAAAAATAGCAAATTTTGCTTCCGCTCGGCTTCACTAGACGCTCCGCCTCGCAAATGCAAAATTCGCTTGTCAAACAAAGTGTCACTTTTGATCCTAATAAAACAATCTAGTATTATTCACATATGATTAGTTAAAATCCAGTAAACACCATTTGGAATTGTCTCAAATGGTTATATTATATGCGTCACAACTATAAATACTGTAGAACAGCTGGAATATAACATGTGCACAGCTCAGGGTATCTGATACTCGGATCTTTTTTTTTAAATATATTATTTTCATTATTGTTTCACATTCAATATTATTAACTTGTAGACATATTTTTCCTTCAGTTTCAGTTTGATATACGGGGTGAAATTCAAATTAATATACACATGATTGATTCAACTCAACAAACCTTGATTGTCAAAACTCATAATACGATGACAGCGAAAAAAATAGTTATCAGACAGATGTGTACTTGATTCTTCTACCAATATTCCAGAATGAAATTCCTCCCTTTTTTCAAGTTTTTGAGCAAATGTAATTATATCACTTTTTCTGTCAGACGATATATTTCAATTTCACATACAATTCCTACTCTGGAGGTCTCCTTCCACTTTTGGAGATCGAAACTTGAATTGGCTGTTTCTTTCAGAGAAAGATATGGCAATTCCTGAAATAGAGTTTCTGAAGCATCCATCTTCAGTGATAACCAGTGAAGGGGGAAATGCCTCGTTTTGTGTCCGGGTTCGTAGTAGTTCAAGTGCCGAAAAACCTGTTGTACAGTGGGAAGTTGCTGGACAACCCATAGTGCCTTCTGAAAAATACAGGGTGAGTAATTATTTTATTAATTCTAAAGTTGTCTATAAGGGTTCAATTAACCATGTTACATATAATACTACGTTGTAATGTAATGTAATGATTAACTTTGGAACATGTTAAAATATCGACAAAAATAATTTAAATAATGCTTAAAAATGATTCACATGCGCACGATATCTCTAGTTGTTGATATTTGCGTGTATAGAAGGTAATAAGCCATACATTTTCTCATTGTATGATATTTAGGCTCATAGGCTATAGCCATTTTGAATCAATTTAGATAATAATAATAATAATAATAACTTTATTCAGTACAATAGAAATACATGAGAAATACATACTGAAATGGCGAAGTCTGATCGAAATTTGATTTTCTTGAATAGACAACTTGGCTGTTTCGATAAAATGATTTTATGGTACAGGGTGGCACAGTGAAGTTTTCGAAGAGATTTCATATTTAGCAAACCAGCTTCAGTAAGCTTATGACGAATGGCTTGCCTCTTTCTTATACTGAAGATGAAACGCAAACAGTGATTCTGTTTTTTTTTTGTATCCTATATCCTATGAGCATCAACTGCCGTGAGACATGGACCGTAAACAGTGTCACAATGGTTAAACGTTGACAAAACTAGCGAGTTACAGAGTACAGTTCTTAGATGTCTGTTCAATAAGGAACGTGAGCTATATAGGAGTTTTAGTTTCCAGATTGACTTCTTTATACATTCAGAGACATGTTTATGAAATCGTAGGGAGGCATCGGTCCATACTCCAAGATTTTTTGCTGAGTCAGAAAAACTCAAAGGGACATTGTTGATGGATAACTGAATATCTTTCTTCAATATTTCCCGAGCCTTGTTATTACCGAATAGTAAAGCAGTTGATTTGTTGGGATTCAGAGCCATGATCATAGATCATTCATAATACTCTCAAAATTATTTTTTTCTGATTCAATTCAAATTATATGCCTCGTTGATTATGTAATTAGCAATAAGGACCAAAAATATAATTTTTAATGATGGCTATAACATAATGACTAATATGGTCACTTAGTTAGTATTCCAATTTCATAACCAATTAGGAAACATGTAAATAATCCATAAAACCGTCACATAAAGTGAATGAAACAGTTCACTCTTTCGGAACATTTTGTTTATAATAAAGAGTATAAACAATACGCTTCGTCTAACGCAAACATTTCATTATTGCTATTTTTGCTTCAGCCTTGGTGTACATTTACGGTAAATATATGCCTAAATATGAAAGTGATCCTTATAAACCGGCTATAAAAGTATTCCATTTGGTATATGGAGTTCGTCATTTTTTTCTTAGAAGGTTTTTACACGCATGCACTTACATATACATATAACATCCGTGTACAGGGTAATCCATATCACCAAATATAGATTCTATCAAAATTGATACCTCAAACTCAATCCACACCTCTTTACATCAGAAAGATGCACTTGTTTCGTATCGATTAAATGTATTGTTTTAGAGTAAAATCGAATTAAAAATATCGTAACATATCTCATATTATGCATAACATTGCAGTGGATGTTGAAACAATGCACAAAAATTGAAATAGTATTTTATCACCATCATTCCTATTCCACTCCGATTCCACTCTATGATATTTTTTGGTGAAGAGGAAATATAGTTGATTTATTTTATAACCACTATGATTTGAAAATTGACTACGTTATGCATAAAATGTGAGATGTAACAATACTTTTGGATGGATTTCACTCGAAAATGATAGACTGATCGATACAGAACAAGAACAACTCTTTTTGTGAAACGGTGTGAATTGTCATAATCCGAGATCAAATGATAGGAAAATAAGCATACAAACAAGTTTAAGCAATATTTGATGTAGTTCCATCCTCTATTTTGAAATAGTTTCAATTTCACTGCATTGTACGAAAGCGTAGAACGGACATGGGATATTTTTTTTCTTAATTTCGTGTTACAACTCGAAATTAGCTTAATTTCGACTCATAACTCGAGCTTTCCTTGAGTTGTAACACGAAATAAGGGCTTCTGTTCAATAAACTCTTCAATCCGAGCTATGTCATAGTTATTTCTTCTTCTATACTACTCTGTTAGGTACTATAACGAGATTTATACGACTACTTCATTGTGAAAATCTGACTCATTGAGAGCTTGGTTTCGTGCGACAACTCAAGAAAAGCTTAATTTCGAGTTTTAATCCCTTAGGAGACATTTACCGAGTTCAAATTCATTTGAACTTTTCTTTCTACTTTTGATCCAAGACGCCGCTGCTGAAATTTGGTAGGCTAATGTCGAGACACATCGTATTAGATTAAGTGAGTCTTCTTGCAGTTCTTTCTTGACAATGAGAGGGACAAATATCCCCTGATAGCTGTACTTCTTGATGATATCCTTCGTTATGGTAATGCATTATTTATTATTAGGACTTTCTATTCTTCGATAACTAGCTAATGTTATAGTTATATACAACCTTCCCCGTCTCAACACATATCTCGTCATGTAAGGAGACCCAATGACAGTTACTGTCATGTCATCGGCTCGCTTATACTGACCCACTGAAGTTTAACAACGTATTCCGAGGTGAAGGGATCAATAGCATAGATATTGTTGTTGTTGTATTCAGAGCCCTATATACCCTTCATACTCAATTCTCAATAATTTGCTAACTTATTAATAAATTTTATGGATTCCTGAGAGACAGTATCGGATCAATATTTATTGAAGAACTATATTGAATAGTTTCAGAATAATAACCTTTCAATCCCAATTTCATTATTATTTTATGAGTATGACCTCTGATTTCCTTATGGTTTGCAATGATGGTTGCAAGGTTATTCATTTTATCCATATTGAAATAACGATTCGAGGAGACATATTGATTTAGTGCTTTTTGTTCATTAATTATGTTCTGATCAAAAATCCAAATTAGTTCATTACAAGATAATAGTCATTTCATTAAACTTAGTCGTATTGCTTACCGTAATATAAATGATTTGTTATAATATTAATTGAATTTCATTTTTTATGAATGCATATGGAAACAGTAGATACAGGTGCGACAAACTTCTGCGGGAAATTTCAATCACAATATTTGAAATATACCGGGAAACAGGGTAAACATTTCTAAAATTGTAGATTTGCAGATTTTCATTTTTTTATGACTCATATCAAATGAATATTTGAAATAATATGTATAGCCTTCCCTTCTCAATCTATACCAATATTATATTGAGGAAATATTTGTTTGTTTGTTCGTTCGTTCGTCTGAACCAATTGGGCTGACATTTTATTTAGATATTTCCATGGTTTCCTGGATGATTTAAAAACACAATTGGAAACGGTAGGTGGCGTTGCTCTCAGTACGTCAACTACTAAACGGCGTGACTGACTGATTTGGTTGATATTTTCAATACGTTAAACAACAAAAACATACAAAAGATACCGAGAGAATGAAAATAGGCGTAAAATTAAAAAAAATAACAAAAAAATATTTACTGTAGATACGCGCATAGCTCAGAACGATTTCAACAAATGTCTTATTTTTTTTAAATGGGTACACCAACCGGTGCGAAGCCGAGCCGTACAGCTATTGAATAATAATCATGTTTGACGATAATCATTCAAATGTTAAACAATATTATTCAAATTTCATTGATCCTGGTTTTACCAAACCAACCATCAGTGTAAGACTTCCGTCTACTAAACTTGTATATTTTCTTTGTTGTATGGCAACATGCCATGCACGTTTGAAGTTCCTGCTCCAAAATGAATAAACAATATAATCTGATTACCAAATTTGTTATTAATTTCACTTATTAATCAATATTTAGTTCCACAAAATTGCGCTACTTGGCACGTTTAATTACTAGAGGATTTTTTCACTGTCTGTATAAATACATACTTTGGTTAGATAATTCAGCTATAAAATGGTTTTGGGATCAACGATGTGTTCAAAACAAAATTTATAGTCGATATTGATATAAAAGGTCATTATGGCTGTTATATATGTGCAATATTTTTAAATAACTAGGTATCTACATTTCAACACTCAGAATATGATTTTTGACGCTATATATCTGGAAGTCAATAACTTTCAACGCTATGTCTCACAGAGTAGATGCCTGAAAGTATGTTTTAGTTGTTCATAAGAATGGGCAAAGAGCGCATTTCAGAAAACATAGAAACCAGAGAAAATCCCAAAAAATTTGGAATAATGATAGATACTTTCCTTTTCAGAAAATGAAATGTTATATCACAGTAACATTCATTTCATTCTAACTACCAAAAACTATTGGATAGCAAATATTTGTCATGAAAACACAAACATACCATTGTTATCAGATTACATGAGACATTGCCATATAAATCATCATCAAAAGAAAAAGATAGCATCAGTATCAATTTTTGACTACGTGCAATAGAAAATTGATTGGCAAATTTCATTGAATACCTGTTACCACCATCAAATTTCATCCCTGACATATATCTTTGGAATTATAATGTGCATGTATATAGCTTGTTATTGTTTAGTAGCTTCGCGATACGCATACGTTTCATCTGCTAGATTTTTGGTGGTTCAGAATGAACCGGAATGAACCTTATGATGTTCCTTCCTGAGAAGTCTTTCAATCTTCAATAATAACCCCTGTAGAAGCTGTTGAAATACACACGAAAAGACCCTGTACACTCACAGAGATAAATCGATCGAATCAAATCTAAAATCCGACGACCACGTCAATCTCCATCATCTCTCGATGTCCCACCTTCGACTCCACGACCTACTCAACCTTCCCCTCTCGAATCCCCCAGGTGGAAGAATCCGGTGACGTCAATATCCTCCACATCCTCGGCGTATCTCGCCGTGACGCGGGCCCCATCGAATGCCGGGCCCGTCTGTCGTCCCGCACCAGCTCTCAGTCGACGCGCGAACGGCCCACGAACGACATCCGCGAGTGTGTGAGCGACGCTGCACGACTATCGATCATCGAACGACAGACCGGGATCGACGCCGAGGGTCCCGCTCGTGCAAGCAACAGGTGCGAACGACCGTCGCTAGGCGACCGGCCGTGTGGGATCGACAGCGCTCTGGACCGAGCGGGTGGGAACGACGACCGGCCGTGTGGGATCGACAGCGCTCTGGACCGAGCGGGTGTGAACGACGACCGGCCGTGTGGGATCGACAGCGCTCTGGACCGAGCGGGTGGGAACGACGACCGGCCGTGTGGGATCGACAGCGCTCTGGACCGAGCGGGTGTGAACGACGACCGGCCGTGTGGGATCGACAGCGTTCTGGACCGAGCGGGTGGGATCGACGACCGGGCGAGTGGGAGCGATAGAGAGAGACGGGAGAGTGTCGACAGCGGGGCTTCGATGGAGGAGCGTAGGGATGGAGAGACGGCGGCGATGTTGCTGAGAGGTCCGCAGGATACGACGGCGCTGGTCGGGGACAGGGTGCTGCTGAAGGCGACGTATCTGGGAGAGCCTGAGCCGAATGTGAGGTGGACTAGAGCGGTGAGTACTGGAGTTTTCTTACACTAAATTCAGACTAGTGTGGTACTAACTTTTTTCAGTTTTTGGTGCTATGTCATGGATCTATTATATCACTGATATTTCTCGATTGTATTTCTTAAGAAATATTACTTTTTTGATTGGAATATACAGAGTGATAATCAAGTTATTGTACAAGCAAATGTTTCGAGGCCACCCTCATAGATATAAATTTGAAAGTTTACAAATGCATATTTTTCTTATGTACTTTCCATTAGATTTAACTTTTCGAGGATGCAATGTAATAAGTCGAATATGTTTCTCTCCATTATTTCAAGATGACATTCAGTTGAAGAAGAACCATATATACCTAAAAAATCAAAACATAACAAACATTTTCATTCACTTCTAATGAACAACTATCCAGGATACAAATAAGTTCTTATACAGACTGAAGTATCAAGAATGAAGAACAAATGGAAAGTGCGAGGCAAAAATACTTTTTTTCTGTGACAGGAAAAAAATTCGAAATGTCATCTATGTTGACAGGTTATAAGATGTCGCTTTTCATAAATTTTTTCCCGGATATATTTGAACCTTCAACATATACCTGTTGGACCAGTAAACATAAATCAAAAAATAGAATCCGAGAAAGAACTGCAAGTCCTTTCATCTTCCATTGGACTTTGCGGTTACGTAAATTACGAAACAACTTCAAATTTCACGTCGACAATTTTCTGATTTCTATGTAATGTGATATCTTCTCAATATTGATTCGTCCTTTCCCCTCGAGTTTTTCCTCACAGAAGAAAAAATAGTACTTTATTATACAAGGGAAAAAAGTAGTAGATTTTAGCTCCAGGTTGTGTTGTCTCCCGACGCGTAGCGGAGGGGGACAAAAAACCGTGAGCTAAAATCTAATATTTTTCCCGTGTATAATACACTATTTTTCTCTGTGGCAGAAGAAAGGACGAATCAATATTGAGAAGATATTACATTATTTTGAAATCTGAAAATTATCGACGTGAAATTTAAAGTTTTTAACAGTAGGGACACCTGCGTTGTAGGCATCTTTATCATTCTTTTGAAGTAATCAACTATCTGATGTCACTTCTGTCAGTCAAATTCTGTAATTTGATTTGAAAAAATTGCGAATTTAGTGGTTGTTTAGTAATATACGAAACCGCGAAGTCGAATAGAAGATAAAAGGACTTGCAGTTCTTTCTCGGAGACGGTATTATTGACTCATTTTTCGGAACTATAGCACAACAAAAGCCATCAACTGTGTGTGTGATATATATCCGGGGAAAAGTACTCACTTATTTTCCACGGGAACAAAGTAATTTATGAAAAGTGACATTTTATAACCTGCCAACAGAGATGAAATGCCAAACTTTTTTCCCGTCACAGAAAAAAGGATATTATACACGGGAAAAATATTAGATTCTAAATCTCACGGTTTTTATCTCCCTCCACTACGCGTTTGGAAACAACACAACCTGGAGCTGATATCTACAACTTTTTCTCCTTGTATAATAAATAACTATTTATTTATATTTTATTTGTATTCACCTTTTTCCTCTGCTGATTCAGCAAGAATATTAAGACAGCAGATCTCTTAGGGCTGAAGTATATGTGTTGAGAAAATTCCTCTGGTGCTAATTTCGTAATTGTTATTGATATTTTGCATTGTCTGCCCATGTACCAACAACTCTGAAATGAATTTCTAAATTGCATGAAGTGCATAATTTCGACGATAAATCCGTATGACACGATTTCTTCGCGAGAATCCACACGCGACTTCATTAAATATTCATGAAGTCGTCTCATTTGACACCACAACAAGCAACCGACGAAAAATAATAAGAAGAAGAAGGTAAGGTTGTCGTACACATTTTTAATGAGTTCCGTGCGACCCAAATGATTCGCACGACCTTGGGAACACGAGAAATACCTATGGCCAATGAAAATGACTAATCAGATGAAGATTCTACCACAACCAGATCATTTAGCTTGATGGCTTGACCTCACTCTGCACGTCTTGATATGTTACCACGTTACCACCGTACCGTTGAACGTTGAACGATGACAAACACGATAATTTGGTTCGTTTCCAAATTTCTCGACTTTCTAACTAGGTATAATGACCCGCCAAAGTACTTACCTAATTTATGGAGTACTTATTTTTTCTCTTATCATTTTGTTTTATCTTACCGACCTCTTAACTATTAGGTAGGTATAGATACTGGCATATTTTGAATAGTTCTAACTTCTAGTACCTATATTGTGAGCAACCGGCAGGCTTCTCTAGTACAAACACGATATAAGTAGATTGAATAAATAATGAATAATCACAACACCAGTTAGATACCTACCTTCTAAATGTCAAAAATCGGATTGAAAAGTGTTCCAAAGCATAAGAACCATTCTCTGCTCTAAGATAACTTTTCAACTTCGATCTTATCATTCTCGAATTGAGAATAATCAATTTTCACTTGTGCCTAAATGTTCTATGATCGATCAAACAACTTGAAATTCAGAGTATAGACACGTTCAAATCCAAAATAAACATATTCAAATTGAAATCAATAAATTTCAAGTTGGGTAGGAAAAATCAGTTAATATGGTATTGAACAAGGAAGTTCACATTATACCTATATAAACAAAGTTGAATAATATAATATGTACATATATAGCTTCATGATATTCTCTGCTTGTGTTTCTACATGTAAAAGACATTTCAACATGGTTTCCTATATAAAATTAATAATCTTTCGATTGTGACATCCGAGGTGACATCTATATTGATAATTCCAATTTGAATGTGTTTATTTTGCCAATTCGAAAATAATCAAACTCAATTTGAGGTTGAAAAGATATAGGTACTTATTTCTTATGGGAATATTATCTCATATCATTTATAATTTTTCCTCTTCACTTGAACAATATCTTAATTTTATTCCATTATTTCAAAGCAAACCAAGTGGTAGAACAGAGGTCGCATTGTTTTCCTGATGGTTTGAAAAATATTGTTTAGATCGTAAAACTAAATACTGAAGTGATTGAATATGTCACTTTAGCCCCGTGGTATATAATATACTATATTATCACAACCATTCTGCTCTCATCAGTTTCATAAGTGATGTTATTTTTTTTTCATAGGTCTATATTAGATATCCTCTTCAAACAATCAATCAATCAATCAATCTTTTATTTCCATTTTTCGACATGGTATTATACATGTATTGGAATTGTCAGTCAGTAAAATATAAAATAGTTAAAATGAAATAAAATAAGATATAAGTACAAGATTTGAAAATGAAACATAAAATGATGATTACATGAAAAAGAACTAATGCAAAAAATATGAAACACTACAACACTGAGTAATACATCCCACACAGAATTTAAATATCTATAAAATCGTTTATACTATCGAAAAATTCTCCAATAAAAAACATTTCAGTTCTGATTTGAATGGAGACAGTCTCTCGATATTTTTTATTCTGTCTGGAAGATAGTTAAACAAACATTTTGAGACCAAGATGATCAGGAGTATCAGATTTAACTTTCTTTTTGGCAAAGGGGACATGAAAACTGTCAATTCTCCTTGTTTCATACTCATGAACAGCACAATTCCGTTTGAAACTAGTTCTAAGTATTCTTGGAAACAATAACACACATTTCGAAAATGAGGAGACAGGGAAGCGTCAAAACTTTGAACATTTTAAAAGTGGTTGTACAATATTCTCTATGTGGAATTCTAGCGATACATCTCAATATTCGCTGTTGACCAATGAAAACATCTTTCCAACCAGGTGAGTCGCCCCAGAGGCAAACACCATACCTTAGCCTCGATTCAACTTGAGCGTAGTACACATTCATCATCTGATCAACTTCCAGGACTGTTCGTAGATTAATGAAGAGAAATTTTAAAGAATTCAATTTTGAAGACAATTGCTGGCAATGTGATTTCCAGGAGAGGTTCTCATCTTCTGCTCTTTCATTCAACTTTCAACACCACCATTCCGAATCTATGCCAAATCATTTTTCCGATCATGCTCAAATTCTGTGGTAGTGTTATTTTTGTCTTCCCTAAATACCTCCAGTTTGACGAGGCTTTTTATTAAATCAATGCATCAGTTAGCTCATGAGTAAAAGTTGCTTATTTCCCTTCATTGTTGTGGTACCTGTAAGTCAGTGTGAGTCAATGAAACATTCCCATGAATATTCAAAATATGCATAAGTGTTGATATTGTTGTCACTGCGGACTCCATTGCGTCACAAGGAAATGGCTGATGACTAACAAAAAATTCGATTGTGAAATTCAAATTTGTCTACGAGATCTTCGAACACGATAATGCAACAATCTTCAATGGGTATACCATGGTTATTCAAATGTAGCTATCTAACTCTAGCCTTATTTGCTATTTAGATTATCTTTAACAGATTCTGACTGAACAAATGTCTTCATTGAAGTCATCAAACTTTAGATAGACAAGTGGTCACACCCTGTCCCCTATAAGTGAACAGGTATGTGATTGATATACAGGGTGTATCTAAATAATACTGAAAAAATGCAAAGAGTGATTTCTTGTGATATTCTAGTCAATGAATTTCAGATAATCATGTGTCCTAACTTGCTCCGTTTTTGAGATACAGGATGTTGAAGTTGGGAGTATCAATTGTTTTTATTTCTAACCCCCCTGTATAAGCTTTCATGGTGCCAAAATTCAGTATGGTTGGAGACTGAGGAAGCCCTAAAATTTCAAAATGATTGTAATTGGGGTTATTGAGTAATCTCAATGGAAGTCTTGAAAACACCTATACATTAAAATTTGGAGTCAAATCGAATTCTTATTGTTTCCTCAAAAGCTGAGCTAGATACTAAAATCACACAGAAGATAAAAAAGTTGTTATTTCCATAGCTCGATCTCCTAACAATATGAAACTTAGGAAAACCGGTGGCGTACCATGATATTCACCATAAATATCGATAAATCTACCCACTGTGACGCCACTGGAAATATTATTTCGAATCTAATTGCACCATAAGGAGCTCCATATTACTATCAACAAGACCACATCGTTTTATTGACATTGATGGAAAGACAATTAAGTAATGAATGAAAAAAACGATTTTTCATGGAAATATTAATACCCTGTATCTCGAAAACGAAGCAAGTTAGGACACATGTTCATATGAAAATATCACAAGGAATCGCTACTTGAATTTTTTCGGTGTTTTTCATATCGACCCTGTATAGGATGAGAAATTCAATTGGGACAGAGCAATATTTTCGTCATGTTGGTGATCTCTTGATCCTTTTACAAACAATTATTGTAGCTCTAGACAAAAAC